TTGTTTCTTTTTTACATTTTCTAAAATAGAATCCCAATCTATCTTACTTTGTTGCACCTGTTTCTTAACATTATTAAAATTATGCTGTCCTACTGCAGCTACTTGTTCTCTGCTACTAGCCTTACCTACTACTATATGTTTAGGTAGTGTTTCAGTTACATTTAACACTTTTATAGGCACTGTGTCTTTCTCAGATACTTTACTAATACAAGCAGCTATATAAACTCCTGATTCTTCTATCTCAATAGGTTCAACTAACACTTCTAAATTGTACTTAAAGTCACTTACTTTAGTTTCAACAATAAATTGACTTCTTGCAGGTGCTTCAGTTACTTTAACTAATCTTAAAGGCACTTATTAGTTCAAACACTCCTTCTCTGTTTTTTATGTTAGTTATAAGTTTAGAGACATCTAAGAGGTTTGAATTACTATTTCTCTGTTTTAAAGTCTTATTTGCTAACTAATTCTGCCTTAATTTACTGTTACTTCCTTTATTCTTTGTTTTCTTACTACTACTACTATCACTTCTGATGGGTTTAGAGTTTTTCTGTGAACACTTACTCACTGGATTCCTTTTTAAACACTTCTTATTGTTACTTCTCTGACTTTGTCATGTATCGCTACACTCTAATAGATCAGTGCTTTTGTATTTTGACTGTTGATCTTGAGCCTTGATAATGCTAGCATTAGACATCTGGCTATTAGCTTTAGTCAGTGGGAAGGTATCATTTGTCTTAACTGTTACACATAAGTTTGAGGATTTGAGTCCTTTAAAACTTAAGATCTCCATTTCTATGTGCAGCTTACTTGAAATAAGAGATATTTCAGTGTCATATTCCTTAAGAAATCTTGCCCTATGATACCATCTGTTTATAAATCTATCTGTTTACAGATGTAAAATGACTGTTCTAACTCTAACTTTCTTACTCTCATGTGTACATTATATTTACCTAGCGTTTTAACAGGATATCCTGTTATAGAAGTTAAAATACTGTTAGAAACTTCTTTCCAGGCATTATCTAAAAATGTCAGATTTTTACTTACTAGTTCTGCACTTAGTAGTGAAGATTGAGCACCTGTGTCAACCAATAATTGACATACTGTACCTTCTATTTCTACTACAATTACTGATGACACTTCATTAACACCATTGACACTCAATCTTTTATTCCAAACTGCTGGACATATCTACTTTTGCTTTGTAATCCCAGAGGGGATTACATTTTTTAACTCTGTTTACAATCTAACTTTCACTTTCAAGTTAATCACTATTAACCAATATCATTCACACATGATATTTCACTCTTTTATAATCATTAATGTCCTTTATATGATTACTTTACTATCTTTATCTAAAACTACATTAACTGAATAGGAGAAATAGCAGTTCTATACTTACAACAAAGTTGGACTGGTGTATACTTAAAACACCCTATTGCTTCACTTCTAATCAACTACTGTAATCAGTCTGACTAAACCAGCTACTACTACTGTAATCAGTCTGATTAAGCCATCTACTACTACTGTAATTAGTATGACTCCATCATCTACTACTACTACTATATCCAGTAGTGTATATTGTACAGTATATTGATAGTATATTCTTGACAGTGATGTACCATTAAGCCATCTAATTACAATTAATTAGTGGTATAAAACATTAACAGTAGATTATAGTACATTCATTGAACAGCTTGTGTCCAGATGGGACAGCAGTAAGTTAACAGATTACAATGCTAAAATCCAGGGTTTGATTCCCCAGGGTGGACACAGCAGATAGCCCATACAGTTCTGTACTTAAACAAACAAACCATCAGTCACTGATCAACTCATTAATTTGACTAATGCTGACACAATGCTAACAAATACTTGTGTCTAAATCATGAAAGGGTTTTATCTGAGATAATTGCATGTCAACATTTTCCAAGTTCATAGAGCTGTATTAAAGATACACAGCATTCTTTATTTCGTATTTTTGTTGTAAGTGGTAGAGTTGATGTTTAGTGGAACTTGCTGATCGAATAATTGTCAAGCTCATTGATCAATTACATTCAACTATTCAATTGTTCTTACATGAGACTTTGATAATTGGAAACACTAATTTACATTAGTTGATTATTTGCATGAGTCGGCACTAATCTATTAAGCTAAACGCTGAATTTAATCAAGTATAATAACAAGAAATCACATAGACAATATTTTGATTACTTGGATAGTTGGAATAATCAGAAACACTAATTTCCATTAGTTGATTATTTGCATGAGTCGGCACTAATCTATTACGCTAAATGCTGAATCAAGTATAATAACAAGAAATCACATAGACAATATTTTGATTACTTGGATAGTTGGAATAATCAGAAACACTAATTTCCATTAGTTGATTACTTGCATGAGTCGGCACTAATCTATTACGCTAAATGCTGAATTTAATCAAGTATAATAACAAGAAATCACATAGACAATATTTTGATTACTTGGATAGTTGGAATAATCAGAAACACTAATTTCCATTAGTTGATTACTTTCTTGATAATTGATTTAACTGTAATTTTGATTAATTAATTTTTTACCTGACAGTAATTGACGTAACCAGTGTTAATAAATAACCATTTATATCGGCTAATCGAGTTAATTACCCAGTTCTGACTGTTGGTACAGTAATAAAAGTATAATTTACTACAGTAATATTATTGCTTGTTAATATGATAAATTAATATACTAGAAAACCAAATTATGTAATGAGTACAAATCATTGAATCATCAGTGTGTGGGTTTCATGCTGTTAATGATAGTTTTCCATACACTTGGTAATCTCTTACAAAGTTAGAGACTTTGTTCAGTCCTATATCCATATACTAATCTAAGAATGTAAATAATCATCATAAGTATAAATGTTAATTAAAAATATATTCATAATTATCTAAACATTTCAAACATTAATATTAATGAAGTTAAAGAAAATTGTAGTAGGTCATCACTCGTATATCACCAGTCATTTGCTCCATAAATCTTCACAACTCACAAATACATGAAACATGAATATACTTAATAATCAGTAGTGCATAATCATCAGAAAAACTGTTGGAAGTTACTGAAGAACAAATATTAAAATTGCTAAACAAAAGCACAACTAACCATTTATCTGGAAAATTATACTGATACTCTGCATTGATTTTTAGTGTCATACCATTATAAGTAACTCTACATAATCCTCTCAAGTAATGGTGATTGATCAGTGAAAACTAATTTCACGATCTCGACTATGGAACTTTAGTTAATTTAACATCATAGATAAAATTATTTTCATATATTACTGTTAAGCAGTTAAATCATTCATCGGAAAATACAAAAACGTGTAAGCTTTGACAAAAAATGTATATATGTGTGTTTGTGTGTATACATATATAGTGAGAAGAAAATATTGGTTCAATAAATTGTAAAACACAAACCCTATAATTAATCAGTGCTCCAATTATGGAAAAAAATCTTGTTATCAGTATTGGAAGTTATTAGGTGTCAAAGCGACACCTCTTACACATGTGAGTTAACAAGCAGGCATATGAGAGTTATGAAGTTCAAACCATTAGAAATAGACAAAATCAATAAAGTATGGTTCACTAAGTGGTTATACAAATAATTTATTTTAACCAGTGCACTCAGGCTGGGTCAAAGTGTGCATTTCATGACCTTTAACAGAGTTACATTCAAAATTTAATTAAAATTTTATCATTTAAATTTCAATTTGTCAAACCAACCAGACATGCCCCTCCAACCTTATAGCTTTTAAAGCAATTATCTAAACCAACTGTCCATATTTTATATACTTGTTTATAACCAGTAGAAAGAGTATTTTTATTTTATGAAAACCTTCTTATATTTATGGCATTTTGGTGGGCATTTGTAGACAGTTTGGTCTTGTATTATTTGCCTGTAATTGTTTTTCAACTTGGAACAGCTAATGGAGTTTTTTAACACATTTATAGCTTAGTTAGAAAGCCAGTTAAATTATAATAGTTTTGGACATTATATTTGAGTTTTGATACATAAAAAATGTGTTGTAAAATGCATATTTGAAAGACACATGAATTTTTATTTAAAAACTTCATGAGATGAAAGCAGGGTTAATGTGCCACATAATTGAGCACAAAAGGCCTTAACACTAGCATAAGTGCTAAATATCTAGGTTTTTTTGTATGTTTTTTATTTATTATTATGTATTTTTTTAACAAAAGTAACTACAATATAAATGTTAGAAACTACTAGGTAGCAAAACCTGGGTAAAATTATAAAGTTCCCAAGCTCAGTTGATATATTACTCAAGCTCACATTTTGTGCATACCTGTAACTTGATCATTTGTTTACCCTAAAGCTCAACTAGAATATTTGTGTTTTACTGCTTTTCATGGAGAGAAAGGGTCTAAAAGACAGTAATGAAACCATAAAATTAAAAGAAAGTTTTTTTTGAAGCTGAGGGTTAGGTATGTTAAATTGAAACGATGTCTCACCGTGTTGTTATAGTCTGACTTGTCACACACAGTTATGCTCAACTTCACTAGATTATTTTGACAGTAATTCTGCAGCATAGGGTTGTTGTGTTACTGATGTTGATACAGCTCATAGGTAGTTATTTTCAATAATTGTGTAGATACTTAATGGTCAAAACTTAGTGTACAAAATTTTACATGTTTTTATACTGATATTAAGGAAGTGGAGAAAAAATAGAAGCAACTGCTGATGTCATTAGTCATTTGAACCACCCTCGTGTTTCGTGAAAGGACAAATTTGTGTGTCTGTACACAAAAATAACTCTCACCTGCTGTTTTCCAGCTTCAAACATCACGTTTTTAAGGTGAGACATGACTGACTGTGAAAGATTACCTTCTGACACATGCCCACATTGGTAGGTCATTATGTTATGTGAACCTTTATTGTGATTTAGTGATGAATAATAATATCCAGTCTTGTTACAGACAAATATATGTTATTTATACTTCTAGCAATAGGAATAGCTGATTCCTTAGGAGGCAGATCATCACATACCGTTTTGAAGTTCACTGTAGCAAAAGAGAACCAGGAAGAGAACTGTGATGTAATAACAGAGAAGACTGAGGTAATAAGTATTTTAAAAACAGTTTGTAATTTACTTTCTTGTATATTATATTCAATTTTTGTATGTTAATCTAAAATATGAAACTGCACGTGATATGTTCAATTAACGTCCAATTAGAGCAAACTGTGTACTTAGTGTGAAACAAAAAAATCTACCTGGTAATTAAATATTATTTTCTTGTGTTTCTACTTATAAACGTTAGAATGCATTGTTTCATCAATTGAGCACTCTCACTGGTAACTGTATTTTTGCCATAATCCCAATAATACCTCACAAGGTTCTGATAGCTTAGGAAATTTAGGTTAGTCCTAAATACATATGGTAAGTTAACAATGCAAAACAATCTTTATAATGAACAGTAAATCAAAGAGAAGAGGAATAACAGGAAGAATTTTTTTCTATTTATGCAAATTAGTTTTTGCCTTATTGGAAAATGTTTTAAATTTTTAAAATTGTGTACTCGTTACAAATTCTCAGTTTTGAATGCCAGTTTTATATCATAATGTTTTTAATTTAGTAAACTGTGGTACTAATTATCTCAGTTTCTACAGTGTATATTTCATATTTTCAAAATTGTTAACATTTTCAAAGCTCTTAATAAGATTTTATTGTAAATCAAATGAAGATCACTTGCAAAATTCAGCCTTAGGTGTTACTTTCTGTATTATGGTCCAAACATGAAAACTACTAACTGTTTCATAGGATGTATATATACATGTAATTTTTGTGGTACTTCACCTTGGACACATGGGTCCACTATATGATTGTCACGTGGAGCAGATGTTTAAGTATTATTGTGATTTTATTACCTGATTGGTCAGGTACAGAGAGAGATAGAAGTGAACTGGTAATGATGTTTGGGATTTCCAAACAGATTAACTTCTGATTTGAGTCAGAACTCACTTGAATCTCATTGTTGTTTCATTTTTGTGAAGATTTTTTTTTTCATTTGTTCTTCTGTTTCATCTTAACATACTCATCTTCATTTATTTTGTATTTTAATAATACCACAATGCAGTAGTCCTACATCGCTTGGACAATCAGGTATTCTTTTGAATGTCTTCAGTTAGTAAAGTGTTTTTGTTTTACTCTTTCATTTCACATATAACAAATCATTATAACTGTCCTTCCACATACAAGTTCCTTGAATCTCCAGTTGTTACAGAGATCAGGTAACTGTGTGTCTAATTTAACCTTGGATTACCACAACTTTGTATGTATTTGTCTACTTCAGTGATTGTACTAGTTATTGTTTTTTATTGACCATTTTAATATTGTATGATTTCAGAACAAAGTTATTGAAGTGAAAACTGAGCAGCCTGATGATCTACTACAAGATGAAGTTTTTTCCAAGTTCAGTGACAGTGGTGATGATAATAACCTAAACAGTTTAAAATATGTTGTTATTAGTAGGAAAAAAGAATCTCAATTTCAAGAGCTACAACAAATCAAATCTGGATTAGAAAGTACATCTGGTAAGTACAAAAAGGTCTCTTTACAGAACTCTAAATTCATTGTACTGTGATTTTCTGAATACAATACACTCCCAAATATAATATGCACTCTGATCATCATGAACAACCAGTCAATCTGCCTTATCAACATAAATGATATGCACTTAGACTTTTGTAATGCTCCAGTCAAAGTAATCCTTTGATGACAAGAATGCTAGAGGGTCCATATAATCTCTAATTGTGCATTTGTCTTAGCGCTTGCTATGTTTGCAAATAAACACTCTCAAAAAACAATTTGCAGCTGGTGTTCATTAGTCATGGACCTTCGCAACAATTTTCCTACAATTGGATACATGAAATTTGTTCTAAGTCATTTCTTCTATTAATTTTATAAGACTGATTTAAAAATACACCATAAAATTAAAGCCTATCACAACAAATCTACATTGGCTGTTTATGGTCAAGTACTGACACTTCAGTGTTTAAATAGATTGGCCCATTTTGATTTCTTAAAGTCAAGTTAAGTAACCTAATAACTCATGACAGAAAAAGGTCAAGTCCTCGTAACTTTCTCGTTACAGGCCTGGTCAGTTTGACCAATCATGTGACCCAAAGTTGACCTTTGTAGTTTACATACTGTAACTTTTAATATTGTTTGTGAATCTTCCCATATTTTTTCAAACTTTTAGAAAGCATCATGTCTTGTTGACAAAAAATCAAAATTTTTAATTATGTATCTTAACTAAGCATCTTAATCATGTTTATAGATACTACAATGAATGAAAATCAGAGACAGTTTTCATCTATGCCTTAGAAACAGAGAGAATTAATAAGACATAACATTGAAACACATTACTAGAAAGTATGCATTATTGTTTGCAATGCAAGTCGAAAAAGATGGTCTGGACTGGCTGTAAAAAACCATTTATATTTGTTATCACATATTATAGGCACCTTAACTTCTAGATAAATTAAAAAAGAATTCATACTATATTGGAAAATTACTGTAGCAGAAAAACTTAGTTAAATCTTAATAGTTACTAAAATTTACTGAAGTAAACCTGAAAATGTGATAATGAAAGACTTGTAGTGAAAAAGGTTTTGTAATATATTGAAGGAAAATTATATGTGGTTGGATTACATTGGCTAAAAACTTCAGAAGGCTCGCACTAGTGAAAATTGAAGTAGCTATTGTAAAGAATTGATGCTACTAGCCCTTTCAATGTTCATCACAACTGGAAAAGTAAAATAATTCAGTGAGGATTTGTTTATACTAAGTCTGTTCTGGACTAGCATTTTAATTGAGAATTGTTTAGTTCAAGAAAGAGTGACAATTGAAGTAAAGATCCTACAGGAGGTAATGAAAATACAAAGTAATGTAATGTGTACAGTTGAAATAAGGTCCTTACAAGAGTCTAAGATTACAAATTTCACTTAAGATCCATTCCAAACATAATGAACAGTTGAAGTAAAGACCCTACAGTTGAAGTGAAACCTTTACAAAGTCTATCTCAAAATGACAAGTTCTAGTTAAGATTCGTTTGAAAGACAATGAACAGTTGAAATAAAGACTCTACAGGAGTTGATGAAAATAAAAAATAATGTGAAGTGTACAGTTGAAGTGAGATCTTTAAAAGTATTATAAGGATTACAAGTTCCAGTTGAGATCCATTTTAATGGCATTTGAAGTAAAGACTAAAAAAAAATACCACAGAAGATTTTATTTACAGTAATGATCTTACAAGAGAGTGGAAAATTCATAGATATGGGATTTATATAGTTGAAATAAAAAACATAAAGAAACTGGAAGATTCATTGAAGTCTAATTATTATTACAATATAAAGTTTGTGTGCAATAAATATGCCATTATGAATCAATGTATTAAACTGATTTTAAATAGTTTATATATATATATATATACATACATACATACATATATATATATATATATATAGTGTATATATATATATATATATTATTGATAGGTGTATCAGGGATGAACATTTACTATGGATGCACTGATTGCAATAGTTTTTTGAAGGATGACAGGATCATTTTTGATTTCAGCATAAATCCAAAGAAAAAATTCTAGGGTTTGGAGTAAACTCTAATTTTTTAAATTTAATTGCATGTTGTCACTACAGCAGCAGCATGACAAAGTGGCTTTGCACTTTGGACTCATACTTAGATGGTTGTAATTTCTAGGTTGGTCCATGTCATGCTGTTGTGTTCTTGAGCAAGATAATTTAACCCATTTGTTCTAGTCTATCCAGCTGTATGATTAGTATCAGCTTTTAACTGAGGGTTAACCTGCGATGGACTGGCATCCACTCAGGGGGATTGTGTCACCATTCTTATTTGTCACTTAAAACAGAAGTTTGAAAGCATTGGCCTTTTCTACCATGCAAGGCTAAGATTTAACTTTTTTAACCCTATGATTACCACAGCACTCTTTAATTTCTTTTCTGCATATGACACAAAAAGTTTTACTGAATTACATTGAAAATTTAATTAAACCACTCTACTATCAATGTATTTCAATGAAATTAGTGTTATCAAATGCATTATAATTCAAAGTTTTATATTATCCAAGTTATTATTCCTTTATTTTGAAACAAACCTTTAAAACAAACAACTAAACTTCAGTTTTGTTGTCACACGACATGCTTGCAGTTAAAATATCTTACTTTTCGTTTCTGCTGTTTCTATTCAGATAAATCTCAGTACCCATATGATAGTCTAGACAAGCTTCTTTGGATATGTGGTCAAGTTCCAATCATGGAGTTTCACATTTCAACCGCAAACATTCCAAGAAAAAGTTATATCATTCCCACCCTCTGATTCTGATAGAAGCCATGCCTACTTTCCAACTTAATCCGTTACTAAGCAACAACTATTTCTAGACTTGAATGACATGCTTCTAACCAATAGAAAGAGCAGATTTCCTAACATATTATCTACAATCTCATACACTGTAACCATTGACTACAAAGGTGTACAATTGCTAAGTACATTGTTAGAGATTGTTGTCCCTAGAACTTGGTTTTTTTTTGCCTTATACATATTAGTTTGATAAACAGTTAAATTGAATTTAAGTCTTACTTTTAATTTTAGTTAATTATGTATTATTTGTGTTTTAAATTTCATATTTGAAAGGTTTAATGATTTTTTAGACATTTTATATCACAAGTTATTATCTAACTAAGCGAATGCAGTAAATTTTGCTGAAGACTAAACCATCTATGCCAATGATAATGTTATATTACCTGTGGGCACCTGTTGAAGTGTGTCAGCATAAATAATAAAAGATAAAGAACTGGAAAGGAAAATAAACATTAAAAATATACTAAGTGAAAAGGCAAAGATGTGAAATCATGCATATG